TCCCTGGAAAACTCTTTTTTATGTTGCAAACCAGACTGTCCTACAAAAAGGACTGCTTTAACAGGACTTTTGAGCTAAGATAGGATCAGGACTGGGAAAGTTTAGCAAGGCAACGTGTGACACTCATCTTGAAAGAAGCACACGATGAGATGATTAACATTTGACACAATCTAGCCAAGCCACAGGATAGTTATTCTTTTATATTAAGTAGGAGAGGATTTTTTTACAAAAGTTTTGTTTTCACTAGGTTTTATACATATTAAATGCAATGTAAAATGACAAAAAAGTTCACCTCTTGAATTCTTCCTAAATCCAGGCAGATTCTCAGACCCTTAGATTTGTGACACAATTTCTGTTCAACATTGACAAACTCAGCAAGGGAGGGAACAGTACCAAAATCTTCCTCATCACTAAGGTGCATATGTTACACTGCAGAAATATGCAAATAGCAAGTTATTCCATGAGGAATAGATCCTGATACTTTTCTCTCATGCTGGATAGTGACATGGTTTAAAGCAAATGATTATCCCAGCTATGCAGGGGGCACTGCAAACCCCACAAAAACCCTATTTGCATAAGCACAGGAACCTATAACACCTCCAAAGCCAAACCTGGTACTCACAGATTTACCTGGCAGATTTTTGAGGCTAAGGATAAACAGACCATGCTTTTCTAAGCCCACCTGAGATATCTGAGTTAGAAGCCTACACTTTCTAAAAGGTCAACAGAGATAGGTAATATCTTTCTGGACACATCCCCCACATAACTGCTCCAGAGCCTTCAGTCCTCTACTTCCATCCAGAGGGAACTTGCTTTCTCTTGCTTGCTCTTGCTTTCTCTCTCTCCCATCTGGTAACTGAGCTCAGCCTTCCAGCACAGAAACCCAAACCTAATCACACAGCTCTAGCCTTTGCTTCCTTTAAAACTGTGTAAAAATATTTGCTTTCATCAGGAAAAACAAACCACACCTGATTCCCCCTCTGAGCCTTATTTCACCTCTTAAGTGTTCCTGAAAGACCATAAAGAGACATGTATTTATGAGATGCTGCCAAAACACAGTGAGCTGGTGGTGATTTCATTTCTGTCTGTCCACAGCACTCTTTCTCCTAACCAAGCTTCTTAGATAGCAAAGTAATGAATTCTGAGAAAACGCTGAAAAAACATTAAATTAAATTAAATTTTCCAGAAATGCAAACTCTTAATTTGCCTTAATTTTATCTTATATATTAAAATATCTTATCTCCATGCTTTTAAATTAGTGGGTGGCTACACTGTTCTAAGAAACAAGCAGAACACAAAATCTATTTGAGAGAAAAAAAGGAAAATTTTCTGCTGTGAAAAGGGAAAGACAAAAACATGAAGAAATTCTACAATATCCTTAAAAGAGAAAAAAAGCAAGAGGCAGGTATGTCTATGTAGCTGTTTTTACCTCCATGTACCTACTGCATTCCTCAGCAATTCAATATCCTGCCTCCATAAAAGGTGTCGTCCAGGAGCAGTGTAACACTACAGGACATGCTACCAAGAAGGACCCATATCATTTACAGCCTGATTCAGTTCCAGCTGGAGTCACAGGAAATCTTGGTGATAGGAATGACCAACAAACTGCTAGAGCTGTAATCAGGAAAATGTAACAAGTCACCAGCACCATCCAGAAAGGTACAGAAAGGATGGCCACTTATGCAGGAAGATTCTTTTCTCCTCTTCAAGTATAGCAGCAGCTAGAGTGAGAGAGAGGGAAATACAGAAAGTCTTGATCTCAGTTTAATTGAAAGTCAGTGCAAATATATCAACAAAGCTCAGGCAAAATTCAGAATTCCACGCGCTCTACGGCTGAGCCTCACAAGCTGTGGCTTGTGGCTCTGTTGAAGATTTTTCTTCAACTTCTCAGCTGCTTCTTCTTTACACAAGCACATCTGCAACCACACAGGCAACTGCCTACAGCCCTGCCTCAGCTCTCCTTCCCCCTTTATAGGCTCAGATTTATGCCAAGATCAAAACAACAAATGCATGCAGACTCTTTCTCCCTCTGCTTTCAGTATCTGGTGGGTTTTTTCCCCCTCTTTAAGGCAGCATCTTATATTTCCATGTGAACATCTGCTGTGCAACATTATCATATCTTCCCTCAGTCTCTCTATTTTGGTTTAGGGCAGGTGGTTGTATTGCATATTGCAGATAATAATAATAAATCTCTTCAGTCACAAGAAATCTGCTCAAATCAGAAAAAGCAAACACTGCAATATATTTTCTTGTAGCTAATTTGCTTGTACATTTCACAGAAAGATAAATCCACCTGGGTTGAGGATGTTTACAACTCAAGAGAGAAAATGTAAATGGGAATTTTTCTCTCCCACAACTTCACATACAGTACTTGTGTGTCTGGTTAGATAGAGATGATGATACAAAAGACTTGGAGCGATCAACAAATACTTGAGAGCTTTATGATGATGTGAAAGTCAAGAGCCACCACTGAGTTTTATGATTTACTTGGTAAAATGCTCAGCAACTTCCATGGCAGAATTTGGCATGACATCAGCAAAAATCATATCTGCTGAAACACACCAGATAGTTCAAAACACTTTGGATTTTAGTTAATATACTATGATTTGGATTGGATATTAAAATTTTCCTGAAATATTTTTATTATAGTTATTACAACATTATGCCTTCAGTGCATTTGCCTTCCTGTAGACTTAAGAGCAAAGCATACTTGTGTCTTTGGGAAAAGGTTTGGGTTCATGACAAGCAGTGTTAATCCCACAGACATCCTAACCCTGCTTAGCTCACACAGCCCCTCCTAAGAAATCTGAGTCTCTCTAAGGGCAGGTAAGGAACTTCTGGTTATAAAAATTCCCTCCAGTGAGGAACCAGAAAGCATCCCATGTGAATCAGGGCCAATAATTATGACCAAATGTTGAATAAAGAATACCCGAAACATATTTTTACCTGAACAGTTTAGAGATACCCATAGATATGCTTTCTGATCATACTTATAATAAAAGTATACTGAGATTTCTGGAAGCTGGAAAGAGACTTGGAAGCCCAAATCTCATTACATTTCATTCCTTACAAAATATCATCCCTCACCATCATGGTGAAGGTACACATACATTTGAAAATAACAAGAACTCATTCTGGACTTCGATAGTCAAAGTCAGTTTAAATCTGTTTAATAATAACAAAAAAAAAGCTGTAAACAAAATTCAGGAAGCTTTATTTTGACTATCCCTACACATCATTTGTATCATTTTCTGTTTGCAACTCTGCTCTGCAGTATGCTGTTCTAAATTAAACACATTGCATACTGCACCTCTGGCATGCAGATGCTTCAATTACAGCTGACAGGCACAATTCTGAAAAGAGTTTCAGTTTAGAGAAAAGTTAGGATTATATTCACAATTTCCAATTCACAGTGGTAATGGTTTCCCTGCTCACTGTTCTTCAGTGAAATGGAGGGAATAATGCTTGAATAATCTAAATTTCCTCTACACAAAAATCCTAAAGCAATTCTCAAAGTAGCAGGAAAATGGGAGAGCACCACCTCTGGAACACTTTCAGTAGTTAAACATATTAGCAATTATATTTACTTCTTTAGTTGAAATTAAATTTACAGCTGTACACTATTCTCCTGAAAGGCTTCCTCTCTTCCCTCTCACGCTCCCTTATGGTTAAAATCTAGTGGGTTTTTTTTCTTCCAGTGAGGGTAAGGAGGGGTGCGTAGCAGACATGTTATTTGTGAAATAATCTGATTGACATCTACAGAAGGAAAAGTCATATAACAATGCATCCCTGTTATTTGAATATCTTTGTGTATCAGAAAGTGATAATAAAGATACTGTTTTAGTTACGTGTGCATATATTCACTTTATATAACAGACTTGATTGGAGAGGTTAGAAAAATGGTCTGATGTTCAACAAATATGCACAATATTGTGGAAGGAAGAAGTCCTTCCAAAGGTGTTAATCCTTCTCTGTGTATGCAAATAAATGGTACCACGCTCCTCACTGATCACACTGAACTTATGGCTGTCGGTGTTTGATACTGTATTAACAGCTTTAATACTATTAATATACAATTAGTTAGTTGTCACTAATACACTATGAACAAAGAACTACAGTGGGTTGGGATTTGGTTTGGGAAGTGAAAGAATAAAAGAAATACTATACAGCCCTGAGTAATCATCAGTAAGGGGCAAATGCAAACTTACATACACGTTAGGCCTCAAGGTTACTAATAAAGTCCACAGCTCCATAGTAAGTGCCATATAGTGATATCTAAAAATATATACTCTGGATTAGGCAGCTGTGAAATTTCTGACAAGATTACTGAAAACTTTTCAATGAACTTACTTGGTAATGGTAAGTGCATGTGCAATATAAGAAAAGCATTTGTACATGAACATTAACCAATATCCATGGGGCTCCCTTTTGGTACACAGCAGTTCACATGTTTGGGGTTACTGCCTTCCCATCTACTGTCTGTCAGTCTAGAAGGAACATACTAATTTTGTGCTAACACACTGTATTTTATTTATTAAGGTCCTGGGGTTTGGGGTTTTCTTTAATTATTATTTGGCTTTGAAAATTATTATGAAGTTAAAATATACTTTTGGAAGTCTTAGATTTCTGTTCTCTTTTAGAGTCTTACTTTTGAATCTGTGCAAATGCATCCTTATTTCTTCTCTGTGTCATACTACATGCATACCATATTGCTTATCCAATACTAGAAAATCATTAAACATTTCTAAGGACAAAAGTACATTGAATGATACTTAGCAACATAAATTAGAATAACCGAAATAGTAAAATAATTAGGTACAAAGCAGCATAGTTGCCAACATATATTGGGGCTATTTCAGTACAACTTGCCATTTATATATAAAGCATATATAAATGGCTATTTTTTATCCTTTTCAACAAGACATATTTTAAAAGGATAGTTCAGAGCATACCAGTTTACCTATTCATGTACAGAAGTACATTGGGAAAGGGAGAGGTTTACGTATCATTTACCAGAGCAGGATACTGTTAAAGGAAAAATTCTCCCTCTAAGATGGTGGCAACTATTCTTTCCCTATAGATAAAGTGTTCATGGAAAATTTAAACATCTGATTCAATGCTAGGCCTTTTCTTATACACACGTGTATTGCTACAGGAATTTAAAACCCTTGGAGTTGAGTACAAGCTATTCCTATTTGCAACGTAAGGCAAAACATGCTCTGAAATGTACATGTCATTATGGATCCGACCATCCCTGGAAGAGTATGATGCTGTAGACTGTATGGATGACCTGAAATAATTATCATTTCTTCCTCTTGTTGGCAATGAATGTTTATAAAGATCAGCTGGACTTCGCCTAAGAGATAAATGCTGGTCATCACGATAGGAGTGCAGGAAGGGGTTATCATCCGAGTGAACAGCATACAGGGACTTGCTCCGCTTACTGTCCTCCAGAGCATGAGTTACTAGTGAGGCCTTGTTGCTCAACAGTTTGCTTGAGGGAACACTAAACATGCTTGCATACGGACTACTTTGAAGAAATTTCTCTCTTTCTTTCAAGCTTATACTACGAGAAGGTCTTCCAATATCAATTTCCCTGGACTTATCAGCGATATTATCAAAAGAGTGTTGCCTGCTAATCCTCAGTTTATTCTTTTTATGATATTGCAGAGCACTACTTTGTGACCAAGTACGCTCATATATTTCTTCAGGAAGTGATAAGTTCGTTGTATCCTGCAGCATCTGATCTTCCTCAATATCATAGAGGTTCCCCATCCGCAGGCATGCATCGCATTTATAGGGAGATCTGGTCGAGTAGTGCCCAGCGTAAGTGGGCATGTTGGAGAGACAGCTCCTGCAGTGGGTGGAATTCTGTCTGTACCTATCATTCATGTCACCTAGGGAAGTATTTTTTTCTTTCAGAGTGTAGTGCTTTCCATAAAGTTTATACTGGTCATTATTTGGAAGACTGTCTTCATTATGTGACGGAGTCCTGTTAGAGTGTTCGGCTTTCCTGTAGTTGTCGTTGTGATCTTGGTAAACATCGGGAAGCTCTACAGGTTCTGGGAGGACAATGTTTTCAATGTACTGAGGTGTGTCCAAGCGGAATCCTGGCTCCTTGTCACCATCAATTGTGTAGATTTTATCCCGTGGAGAGCCCTGTTTGGTTTTCAGATATGTCAGTTCCACTTCACTACAGTCCTTTGGGTATTTTGATGCTACTGTCCTTTTTTTAAAATTGTCCTTGGTTTTGTGGTGCTTGTTGTTGTTTTCAGCTTCTATGTGGCAAGTAGCTCTGCTTGATGTCTCTGATACATCTGAATGGACAATCTCTTCAGGAAGGTATCTTTGGCTTTTCAGTGAAAGCTGCCTGTTTTCCTCTGACCCATTTTCTCTCTGGGAACCTTGGCCCTGACGTACAGAATCTTGGCGTAAAGATTCGACAGATTTCCTCCAAAGCTGCCTAGGTCTGGAGTTCACTTTTGCTTCTGTCGTTACTGCAACCTCTACTGTATTTGGATTGGACTCATTCAGTGTGAGAGGATGCTGCCCTTGGAAAACATAGTTGTTCAGATTGTCCTTATGTCGATTGCCAGGAAGTGTCTGCAGTTCACTTATGTTGTCACCAAAAAAGTTGTCCTTTGTCTGAAAGGATCTGTTATCAGAAAATATCAAGTTTCCCTTATCCATGACCATGTCCATAATCAAAGAACCCCTCTGAATAAAATCAGTTGTTCTTTTGGGTGAGTCAATTCTTGAAGGATTGATATTGGTCATGTTTTTGGCTGTTCGCAGCAGTTTTAACATGTTGGTTTGTGAATTGGTCAAAGAAAAGTCAGGAGACTTCTTTTTCTCTTCAATGTGTACTCCATGGATGCAACTGTAAATACCCTGCAATACAAGTAAAGAAACCAAATAAAATCACTAGATATAACTTTTTAAATCTTCCATTTTAGTTTTAATTAGCAATAAAGAAAAATTAAACATATCTAATTACTGGGAAGATTAAAAGTACGTCTCTAACTTTTTATCATTTCCTTGCATTGAAATGGAGGGATACTTTCTGCTATATCTGTTAGTACCACAAAGGAGAAAAATTACCAGTATTTCACAAACCAGTGGTCCGTCTTGGCCTCCCCAGCTTATTCCAAAAACACAAGATTAGAAGGTACCCCAAAGGGTTCCCTAATCTTGTCACAAAATGAAACTAACCTTCAGTAATAGATACTCTCTTATTTTAAATTAGTGATTAAGTTTCCCCTCTAAACAAGCCTGTAGTGGGACTATTTTACTGGAGATTAAGGTACCCTTCACTTCTACTGAAATAAAAAGGCTTCTAGTCATCATATTTTAGCTTTTCTGATCCCTATCTCAGTATATATGAAAAAAAACCCAACTCTTTCTAAAGCTGAATCTGAGTTAATTTGAGCAAAAGGCTGAAGCCCATTTTCTCACTTCAATCTCTTTGGTCACTCCTGTGAGCCCAACTGACATTTCCAATCTAGCAATTCTCAGACATTTACCTTTGACGTAAGTACGTCTTTTCCCCTGCATTTTTTAGGAAAATTTAATATAAAAAAGACTAGAAATATAAGGTTCAAATATAAATTGTGGAGGTTAGGGTACATATGGTTTCTAGACAATCCCCAACAGGGCAGAGCAGACTATTATTAATGCAGTTCAAAAATGGTCCAATCTACTCAACAGGGTAATTGCAGCACACTTAAAAGCAATTAGCCATTTTAGTATCATTTTCAGTTCTCCTCAGCTATATAGAAAATCCAGAAAAATCAATTACTTAATGAAAGTTCCAACTGTTTTAAAATTATGTGAAGAAAAAACCCAAACAATTTGTTAAAAACATAAGAATAAGACCACATTTCCATTTTTTTTACAAGTATCTGTTTCTTGCACATGTAAATCCCCTATGGCACTGATAAAGTTATCATTAAAATTGCTTGAGTGTCTAACCAGACACAAATGATACCTGTGTTTGACCTTTTCTCAGTTTATTCAAGTTTGCTATCAAGAAAAACTTACAAAAATATTCCACTGTACTTTTGTAACTTAAAATTCTCTTGATTAAGAAATGCCCAAAGCTCAGAGCTAGTCTCTTATAAAATTAGTATTTTTTAAATTTTATTTTTAATGTGGAAATTAATACATTTCCTGCACCTACTATTTCTTCATTGAAATTTCCCCTTACCGTATTTGTTTTCAGCATTTGGTTAGTTACTGATTATCCTGGCATATACCCTATGCATACCCTAAACAGTCCAATGGATTAAGACTTCCCAAGGAGTGCAAATACATCCTAAGCTCACTGACTACTCCAGAGCACCACACTGCTGCTCTAACACACATTTCAAATTTCCAGGTGGGAATAAAAGGAAGGATAATGTTTTGGGGAGGCAGTGTTTATTCTTTCCGTTGTCTAAAGGGGAAAAATGAAAGTAGTACTGACCCTGCTGATTGAGAACAGCAATCCTGGTCTATCCGAGCAGACTCCAGTGAAGCAGAATCTAAGTTTCCAGTAAAATAAGTGCTCCCAGACAAAGGTTATTAAGCTGAGTGCCATGGCTGCTGCAAGCATATAAAACACTCCTGCCATGTTGTCGATGTCCAGCTGGCTGCTCATGACTTCATTCTTCTCGTTGTGACAAATACCAGTCAGCCACAGGGTTTCTAACTCTTCCATTTCCCCTAGGAAGAGCAAGGAGTCAAACCAGTTAAAATGCAAAAATCACTGCTCACAGTATTCAAAAGTCTTTGCAAGTTTAAAAATACAACACCAATTAATGCTTCATCCGTGGAGCACTGCAGACTTATGTAGCCAGGAATTGCAAATATAGCGGATATCAACTCACAGCACCCTAGTTTCAGATGTCCTCAGATTTCATAAATTACGTGGGAAGCTGGATGCTCTAGAAAGGAGGATCTGTGGTTTAGATAGAACTTTCTTCTGGTTGCTATAAGTATTAGCACTTGCTATAGAGAGTAGAATGAGCTAGTAAAGAGCTGGGACAGGCTTTAGTGATCAGAGAGAGAACTCAGCAGAGAAGCACCCTGACACTCAAGCAGACCCTTTCATGCCCCCTCCTCTCCACTGCCCTACACTTGTACCTCCCTGATCCACTCTGACCCCTCCCTTTGGCCTTTCCCTTTAACAGCACAAGACAAATTTCACAAATCCTTGCAATTCTTTTAAAATGTGCCATGAGAAGTTTGTTCTTTCCTGTCTGATCCATGATAACCTTATTTCTTCTTTCCAAATAAGCTGCACTGTTGTGGCTGAAGCTCTCCTGACACATGTGATCTCTGCTCAGTATCTCTTCCCTTTTGCTGCTGCCATTCCAGTTTCCTGGGCAGCAACAGAAACACAAACGGCCTCACCACGTGCCTGAAATGGAGCATGTCTGGTTCTGGCTGTGCCACATCCTTACTGCCATTAAAACACTTCATTTACCTAAAGCTAACGAAGCAAATTTGCTCCCTCCATCTCTTGTGTATTCTTAACTTTGAATCCATATTTCACTGATGAGATTTGGCCTCAGATGAGGACATTGTCACCTAGCAGTGGTTGCTACTGCCAGCATGGACAGAGGCAGGCAAGAAACTCCAAGTGTTCCTGCCAAATTTTTTTTTTTTCCATTTTGCTTGATTTACTAATTTTCAAACATTTAATGTCGTTCTTAGTGAAGCACTGCATGGGCATACAGGCCTTTTTGCTCTCTTGGGATATAGTCAGCTGAGTAATTATCATTTTTAATGTCATAAACTTATTGTTTCCAGAAAATACAGCAGGCAATGTAGAGGGCCAAATAGGACAGTATTAGCTGTCTTGGTGTGTTTTCCAATTTAAGATATGGCTTCAATATGGGGAAAGAATTTCCATGGTACAAATCCCTAATCCTTAGCCAGTGATTAGGGAATACATTCTCAGTATTATAATTCATACATCACTGGAAAAAAGAACAGAAAAAAATGGCTAGAAGCTATATTGACATTTCAGCTACCTTCAAGCTAGAGTAGAAGATCAATGACCTGCTGTGCAAAAGCATTTTGCAGGAGAGAGTGCCAGGGCACCAGGAAAGCTGCAGCCCACAAATAATTTGGATGTGAGTTCCAATTGTAAATGGAACACAAGACTGTGATGGAGAAATTGCTTCTCAGAGAATGCGAATGAAAAACTGAAGTAGAAAGGACAAGTTCTGATGCACTTTAGCAAAGGCATTTCACAAATTTGTAAGAGGGATTATTCAGTCTCTAGCTAATTCCAAGTTTAATTTTGTGCTTGAAGCACGAATTGAACCTCTACATCTGCAAAAGGCAATGTGTCTTCTCCCAAATTACAGTGCTCAATCTTCAAAATACCTAAGAGCATCCCAAAGAAGAAAGTCAATCCTAATGAATCTTTTAAAATCTTCTAATCCAGGACATTGGACAATAAATTATTAATTGTAACAGTATAGATATTGCACACATAGATAATTGGGGTTCATTATTGCATTTCCATATCTTAGAACATTTGGATTTCTTTTGTTCTGCTAAACCTCAATGGACTGTTTCCCTCGTCTCCCTTTCAAGTCTTCCCCAAGGTCTATGAATAAAACTCACAGAGGCTAGAGAAGAGAAAAGAACCCAAGTCCAAAGAGAGAGCAATATTTCTGGTCTGTGCATTAGTAGCTGAAGCTCTGCCAATCAGATCTCATTACTTCCCACAGGAAAATTCACATCTCCCATGATTGTCAGACATCAATTTCATTTGACTGCTGTGCCCTTTCACTATTCATAACAAAATTCACGAAGGAATTTAAACCTCTTTTTTATCACTGTTTCCTCTGTGTTCTTTTCCCTTTGGCATGTACATCTAAAGTAACTATTGATAATCCAGCAACCTTTCCAAAAACATCCCGACAGAAATGAACCAAGCTTGTTTTCAGTCAAGATAAATGACAGTGCCCTGGCAAGTAAAGAACAAAGCATCCCAGAGCCTTGCAGATCCTGCTATTGCAATATCCCTCCCATAATATCTGACAATGACAGCAACCACTGTTAATTAACGTGCAAAAGGAATCCACATTTTTATAGATAGCAAAGCACTGTGAATCATTGGACTGTCATATCTATGGAGTGATGGAATGGGAATGGACATATTAGGCTGATAATTCTGGTCTCTCCATATAAAGCAGTTGCCATTTCCAGTACATATTTTTCTACATGTGCATATATATTTATATGTGTGTGTGTGTGTGTGTGTGTGTGTGTGTGTGTGTGTGTTCACAGAGAAACACAGACAAAACTGGTAATAATTTAACTGTAGTAACACTTCAGCAAAGCTGACCCTATAAAACTGGCAAAAATGCCCAATCTTCTTACTGCTTTTCCTGCCCATTACACTTTAAACCAGATATTCACAGAAGCCATAACATTTTTATTACAAAATCCTGAGGCATGAGAAACATTTTTATCTGTCAATTCAATCCTTATTAAAATCTGTTACTTCCAAATTTGGTCTGGAGTTTGAATTCAAAACATTGAACTTTGAAGCTTGTTATAATTTGGTTCAGAAAATAAATTCATTTAAAAGAACAAACTCCATTTGGAGGAATGTTGCCTTTCAAACCTTTTTGGCTGGTCTGACTTGTGAGCCGAATGCATAGGGTGATGACACCTATAGCAATATATTATACTTTGGAATTGAAAGGCCAACAATTTGTGATTACCAGGCACTGGAGACTTCAGTCATCCCTGTGTGTGCATAACACTCATTAGTGAGTGGGAGCTCCAAATATTTCATAAAACAGACCTTGGAAATCTAAGTCAGCAACCTCAATATCCATAAATGCTAGGCTCACTGAACTGAGTGTTAATGGAGTTCAAGTCTGCATCTAATAGGGGGGTCTAAAGTTACTCATAAATATTAATCAGACTTATTTTAAGGGTTTTTGTTTTCACTTTAGGCACTTGCTAAAGGAAAGTAATGCCACAATCATCTCCTATCTTCATTCATGTGTGGACCAGATTAAGGTATAAATGAACAGCTGCAGATCTCAGCAGAGTACATCACGACACTAGCACAAGACCAGAAAATGAAGAGTAGCAGCGTATTTGACAAAAAAAAATACAGTATTTATTTTCTGTTTAACACATCCACAATCTATTTAACCTGAAAAACTCATAAATGACTACATGATTCCTACACTAAGAGATATTTAAAAGTTCTACAGCACTATATCATAAAAGATCTGCTTCATTTACAGTGTAAGAATGGGCATAAGCAAGTGCTTTAAAAATCCGTATTTCAAGCAATGTTGAGTGTCGGCAGCATTCATTCAAAACACGCTCCAATAAATTGCAACATTCCAGTTCTCTCACTGGTAATCCAGCACTATTTACAATGGGTTTAGGTTACAGTGCAAACAGTGCAAAAGATCCCTTTGTGCTCCTCCTGGGTTTGTTCCTGTGGCTATGGAGCTCTCTGCCCTGGCTGCTATTTGCACAGAAATGTGCCGGTTGGCCTTTTGGTCTGAAAAAAACCACAAGGGCCTTTCTTTCTACATAAACTCCTCTGGCCTATTTCACACGTTATCATCCTGGGAAGCGCTGATAAACTGCCCACTGTGTCCCCTGAACAACTTTGTCACAATAAAAATTTCATTATCTAGACACAGAAACGATACAGTCTAGAGGGTAGAATCACATGCTTTTCCTCATCAGGGCCCTTAGCAGGCTCTGCAGGCTGTGCCACCTCTCCCTGGTGCTGCCACACATGCTGCCCTTTTGCAGCCTGTGTCACTGGCTCTTGGGATGTGTCAGGTCTCTGGGACACTTTTAGGGTGTTACTGATCTCCCCAGACTCCTTTTGTTTCTGTGGCACACAGGCACCTGCAACCACCTGAGCACTGGAACCCAGTGCCAGGTACAGCTGCACCAAACTGCCAGGCCCTTCAGCAGCTCTATCAGCACCTGCAGCTGCACAGGCAGTCACCCATCCCTGACTCCAAAAAACATTGCCTTGCATCAGTGAGAGCTGTCTGGAAAGATGAATTCTCCCATATATTGCGTTGTGCCATGCACTGCAGCCATCCCTGCTCTGTGCACACCCTGCAGGAGAGTGCCTGGGCCGAAGCAGGAAAGGATGCCCTGTCCCAGTGGGGAAAGCAGAGCTGCAGCCCAGCAGCCTCATTGTTTTGCTGGGTAAGTACAGCAGAGCTCTGGTGTCAGCACTTCCCTGGGACTTGCATAAGGCACGGGCCAGGAGCAGGTCACCAGCAGGAGATCTCAGTGCATGTGTCACGGCAGAAGGTGCCAAAGGCTGCTGTGACAGTGTCAGGGGCGGTGGCTCTCGTGCAAAGCGCTACCCTGAGGTTCAGCCTGAGCAGGCAGCACAGCAAACTGCATGCACTGAGAAGAGATGATGAGCAGGAGGGTTAAATATATACACTCACACTGGTCAGATGTAGGGCATCATCTTCAAAAGAGCCTGGCGGCACTAACAGAATCACCTGCTTATTCAGGCTGGACAAAAGGTAGTTTTCAAATTTAGGGACAACCTGTTCCGTGTTTACTCTGGTAGAACTCCCCCTAAGTGACAGGGGAGGAGGACAGCACCCCATCACTTGGGGACTCTAAAATAAAAGGGTGTTTCCCCCTGAAATGCGGCATCCAAATGGGTTGATGTGCATTTGGTTCAATAAATT